GCAACTCACGAGAAAGGAAGCTCAACAGAGCATTTTTGTTTCCAATGTCCAGTCTCTGCCTCCAACTCTAGAACAACAAGTTTCGATCCGGTAGACACAACAAGTCGTCCCTCATTCCGCAAGAACTGGATAAATCCGATTTCAGAGGCCGCAAAGTCGACAGGAAAAGATAAACCAGGGGCTCCGTATCTAAAAAAAATAAGATCAAACATATACTTACACGGCTACACGTCCATGCGCGTAGGCCACTGCCAAAAGACAAAGGTCCTGATCATATGCCAAGCACACAGGATCGTCAATGATTCCATAAGTCGACGCCTAACGAGAGTGAGGAAAAATACCACTTACGTTGTAGCAATGAGGCTGCTCCGTGTGCTTGCCAGTGGTAAGGTCTTGCAATTTTTGAACCCATGGAAGATTTTGGATTTTCTGAGGAAGCTTTTTTAACGGTTCAAAAAACTTTTGCGCCATAATTATTGTTCAGTCAGTAAGTTCTGTCACTAAAAAAATAAGGAATTATATAAATGCAAACGCAAAGTCCGGAGTACACATCCCACTAGCAAAAATAAATAGCTCACCAGAAAGCTGTCGGTTTGAATGAACCTCAGCAGACAAATTGAACGCCGGCTCGTGTATGATCATTATAGCTGATTCATTTTAACAAGCTCTTAGCTTCAAAGTGTCGAAAGTTCAGCTAATGTATGAAGGAGAAAGTAAACAGTAATATAAACACTTGGGTATTTTTTACATTAAAAAGTTCTCCAAAACCTATCGTTTTTTCCAAAAGAATGCACATAAGCATCTAAATCAAGCTGGGAGTTCGGTTGTCGTGCTGGAATATAGACAGGTGACATTTAAGGCGTGACTTGTATGAAAGGGAAAGATCGTAAAGCCTTGATATAGCGGTGCTACGGTGCTATTAATTAAACCATAGTAAAGATGATTTTACACGTTTTTACCCCTTCCAATTTCTTCGTCTTTTCCAAGTTCAATTTCTTAACGTTAAAGGTATTGCTATATCTTTCTTTTGGCACGAAAAGATAATGCTGATGAACATGTGATAACGAAGAATTATATCAGACTGGCCGCTTTTTCTTATTTTAGGTAGTATCCAGACATCGGTGTCTACAGCTGGGGTGAGAATACAAACTACTCAGACTACACGTTTATGCGCTAAGTATTACTTGATTTAGTGCCCATTGGATATCCTACTATCTCGGCCTCTACAGAGAATTAAAATGTCCCTTAAATAATCTATTTCCGATTAAGCAGTGCCGGATAAATTTTAATGCAGGGCGACCAAATTATTCAGCGGCTTGGAAGGCCTACTATACGAGGGTCGACTAGAAAGGTTCCAATATTTTCCTCTCTCTTATAGGCAATACAGAGGAGATATGATCATCGTCTTCAAATTCGTCAGAGGCGTAGACCGTGCTCTTCAGATGGCTGATTTTTTCAATTGTGAAAAATGACACATCTCTGAAATCAGCCATACAAACTGAAGAAATACCATGCCAAACTAGAAATGCGGGCCAACTTTTTTCCCATCAGGTCATTGAAGACTGGGACAAAGTATATTATTCAATTGTTCTTGCTGAAAGCGTTGACGCATTCAAAAGAAGATTTGATAAAACTTTATTGATGGTCATATCTTTGGTAGACGCCAACGATTGATATAATGTACATATATGGCTTTGAACCATGCATGATTTGCCACAAACGATCTGCAAATAGGGTTTTCAAAGGCTCTGACTATCTCTCTTATGCAAACTAACATATACTGTTATTAATACTAATAGTCGTCAGAGGTGACACGGATTAATGTCTACGCTTGTGTTCATATCTCCTCGACCTCAAAAAGGAGTGTGAATCTGGGTTTTTGCTTTTCCGAGTAAATACACGTTTGAGAGCCGGAGCTGCTAGAAGTAATGTGTC